CACCTTACGGTGAATCATTCTTACAATTTTAAAGACCCCGAAACTGGTGCACATACAAACAGTATTGATGGCATGTGGTCCACAGTCAAGAAAAGTCTGCCAAGGCATGGCTGTCCTGGACACCTGGCAAATTATTTGGCAGAATATACTTGGCGGCGGAAACACAAGCATGCTCCAAATCTTTTTCTTGCATTTTTATAGAGGATGATGAGCCGATTGAACTTAAGCTAAGTTCAGTACAAGTGAAGAGCAAGGATGATACTAGACCTGGCTACTTTTTGATAAGAGGTGTGCAAACTGCATAGTTAAGACAAGACCATACTTGGTTTATAAAAAAAGATAATGTTCTTGAATGTAAAACTATTCAGGTATCAAAGATCGAATCTTTACTGCTGAGCTCAAAGAGAAAAAACGCCCTGCTGTGTAAGATTAAAGCATTGAAGGATGAGACGTCAAAAGAGCTGAAGCAAATGACAAAGAGACATGGTAGCTTGGAGACTCTTCTACAGATGGTATCGAGCAAGCAGCAAGAAATGGTCAAAGATTTGATCAAGAGGAGACAGTGTGATGCTGAGCGATTTTAACAAATCAACTGAATTATGGACTAAAATGACAAGGTAGGTGCTGAAATAATAAAACTTAATTTATAAACATTGACAAGATGGTGGCAAAAACAACCAACTACTAGAAGAGTTGGATGAAGGACAAGGCAGTACTTAGCAATGTTTCAGTAAGAGGTTCAGGAACTTGCTGAATATTATGCTCAAGTTATTTCCCCAGAATATAAAGATACCTCATCTCTCCAGTATTACCAGGATGACTGTTGAGCCAGGAGTGTTGGTGTTGATCCAGGTTGGCGAGGCACATCAGTGCAACTCTGCACCCATTGCCTTTGATGCCTAAGTAAAGGGGACAAGCATCTGAACACCTTTTCCTTGAATACAGAGCCGTACATCGGATCAAATCTCAACAGCACAAGTCGTTGGTGGAAGAACAGGAGACTATGCAGTCCACAATATTTCTTCTTTGAAAGTGTAGGCTGAAGTTTATGGAGTCTGCAGTTGCCTCATGTGGATGTTCTGTGCATGTTTCAAGAGAAATGCAAGGTTTGACAGGGTAAGAGTGATACATTGTTTGGTGGACATATTACAGTTGGATTTGGATATGTGGTTTATCCAGGTGAACTGTGATGTACACCCACTGGACAATGGCAACCAAGGCAAGAGAATGTCTGGAAACTCTGGACCAGCAGCTGAATGTGAAAGCTGCTCTGGAAAGGGCAGAAGGTCATGTTATTTTAAAATTTTGGCTGGTTACATTTGGATACAGCCACAAAGGAGAACCTGCTGCCTTTTAAAGTTCTTTAAAAACAACATGGGATACCAGCAGGTATCATTCTTACAATTTTAAAGACACCGAAACTGGTGCATACGCAAACAGTATTGATGACATGTGGTCCACAGTCAAGAAAAGTCTGCCAAGGCATGGCTGTCCTGGACACCTGGCAAATTATTTGGCAGAATATACTTGGCGGTGGAAACACAAGCATGCTCCAAATCTTTCTTGCATTTTTAAATGCAATAAAGCATGTATATCAGCCCCAATCTCATGATTATTAATTGCGTTGTCATTGAATTTTAAGTATCTTTGGATGTAGGACAAAAGGCCAACAAATAAAAAATACTTGAGAAGAGACTAAGTTGCTACCCTTATAAGCTGAACCATCGGATTAGAGTGACTGGAGATGGCGGGAGTGTCTTAAACACAAAGGATCAACTTCTAAATATTGCTAAATGCTGTCACGATTGTATCTTAGCTCCTATGTCAACGAGGTGAGACAACCATCAAAGAATCAAGTCAAAAGCTGCCGGCATCATCGCCCACATGCAACAAGGAGGAACGCCAAGAAACAATGCTAGATTGGATCCTTATAAGCCATTATAAGGTGGACAATGGGGTCAATGCAACTCGGGATGACAGTGTACGAAGGATAGTTTCCAAAAAAAAAAAGAAAAAGAAACCATCTGTGCATGACAATTAGCTAAATGGGTTCTAAGGACCCAAAACACTGTTGAGGGGGGCACAGGAGGTGGCAGGTAATCCTCTATTGTTTGATCTAAAAACTATAGAAGAAGAGTGGATGTTGAGATGAAAGCATCAAAAAACAAAGAATAAAAAAAAAAGGCCGATTTACAGATTGGAAATGTGATTGCAGAACGTGAAAACAGAAGTAGACTTGAATTTCTACGTGCCAGAGCATACAATTTATACTACTAGGTCCTTACTGGATCTAGATTCTAGTAGTTACTAGATCTACATGGAGCCATTTTTTAGCTCCAAAAACGCGTTGCGCGACGTCATCCACCAACCAAAACGCAGAATAACAAAAAATAAAAATAAATGAATTAGGGCCTATTAAAATTTAAATTTAGGTTTTTCGATTTGGGAAGTCTCGTTCTTGCAGTTTTGAAGCACCCGTGTTTTGGGCAGACATATAAAATATCGAATCATTTCTTTCTCATGAAGTACATGATGCTTAAAAATAAGGATTGTATCGTAATCCGATAGATTTGTATTCGAAACGGCCCATGTATTACAGGGCGAATAATTAACATTTTAATAATGCTAGCTTGACCTAATTTCTTTGTTTTTTTACGAGGCCGGCGAGAGATAGTCACTCTTACATACTTGTGTTTGAAGTCAAATAAACTAAAGGAGGTGAGTGTATAATTGACTATTATTTGTATATAATTTTACAACATCTTCACTGAGATATAAAAATAGAATTGTATAATAAATCAACAGTCGAAACAAACCATTGCCCGTACAGATGACCGTATTAAAAACCTCACAGGTCGCCATTTTATAATAATCTATTTGCCAATTCCGGAAAAGGTGAAGGGGTGGGACCGTGGGATGGGCTTTGACGGACTGATTGATTGAGTAATAATAAAACACTTCTCCAGAGTAAAAAAATCTTTTTTCACGCTTACATTTATGAAATAAAGTGTTGATAATTTTTTAAGTTTTAAAGCCAGCTGTTGTAAATATTGAAAACAAAGGAAATTGAAAATCAAAGGCTAAAAGAAGAAACATTGGGACAATAAAATTCTTTAAAACAGGAATTGAAGGAAAAAAATACCATTATTTCCCAGTTAAAGAAAACAGTAAAACAAACCAGCAAGATGTATGATTATTTGTTAGCTGAACTTGAAGAGAGTAAGGCAGAAAAATCAGAAAAAAAAATATCATTGATGGATGGTAAGACATTCTACAGAGACGAGGATCTGTATGTACAGAGCTCTGATAAATAATGTCTCTGTAGGTGCTGCTGGTCAGCTGCTTAAGTCTTTCCTGGAGCAGGGAGCTGGATTTGTAATTGACTGTGTGTCTCAGCAGTCTACAGTGGCTCAAATGGCCTATGAAATGGGCATTTTGGCTGACCTGCAGGTCGCTGAGGCACTGGCACCACATGAGAACATAACGTTGTTGTGGGAGGCCACTTCCATTGACGGAAGTCATATTAATAAAGTCCATATTTCTGCTCCAGGAAAAACTTTAGCTCTTGATGTGAGACCTTTACCAGGTGGCAAGGCCGTGGACTATGTTGAACACATCAGTGTTGAACTTAGAAATGCTGTAAATATTTATTGTAAGTTAAAGAATGTTGAGAATACGGAGGAGATGTACTTCTCACTGATATGCTCAATAAAGTCCACTCACAGATAGGGCGCCTGTCAATCATAGTGCTGTCACTCAGCTCAGCACTTTGTTTGACACGCACCTTCTGGAATTAAACTGTAACGTTCATGTCCTGGATGGATTAGCTACGGTAGGCCGTTCGAATTCACAGCTTCCGGGTTTGTTGTTTTGAAGCCATCTCACGGCTCATGCGCTTACCAAAAATGGCGACCAGTTTCGCTTTCACTAATGGGTAGAGCGGTAAAACTAATGATTACGAAGCCATCGTTAATTTAAGAAATCGGAACTATCCGTTTCTATTTAAGTCTGTTATTTAAGAATTGTCGGATCTACTTTTGGCCTAATTTCTATGTTTGTCTCGCAAGCGGCGCCTTAATGAAAGTAGCTCTATATAATTCTTATCTTTCGAATCAAATAACTATAAAATACCGCAGGTATTTTTAACCAGACTATTGCTATTTTTTACTTGAAAGCATTAATTTTACACACGTTACAATAAACTGGTAATAATTTATGGTAGGCATGAGATATGCTCTGTAAGAATAATAATGCCATTTTATTATAATCTTTTTTGGTGAACACGAAGCGCGGGAAAATGTGTGACGCGCAAGAATCCAATCATTCGGCTAGATTTATGACTGTTTTTTATGTCACACCTAAAAATAGAATGTTTACGCTTTCTTCATTGATGATCGTTTTCATTATTTTTTTAAACTGAAAGTATGAATTATTAGTTAGATTTCAGGTTTTGTAACTTGGTATACTTACCCTTTATCAAAATTAAAAGCATAGCATGCTGATTGTGAACAAATATAGTCATAAAACACAAATATAAAGTTACAAACAATGCGATGTCGGGATGTGCCACACCCCCTCAAGAAAACACGTGTTTATTAAGCTGTTTATCTCACTTTACAACAGTAATTAAAATTAATTTTCAAATTTTTATCACTTATTGGGTAAGATTAAGCACATATTTACTAAAAATGAAAAAAAAAACAAAAGCAAATTCTGTTTTAATGAAGGTCACGGGTCAAGTTTTTTTTTCCTTCTGTCATGTTCAGTGGAGGGTGCCACAGGCTGACCTGACTTTGGAATTTTTTTCAGTAATAATGACTTTGCACAGAAAGTTAAAATATGCTAAATTGGCTTAGTTTACTAGTGTGCAAGCTATTATTGATACATTTTTAATAAAAAAATCATTCTGTAATTCTCATCAAAAAGCCTAGCTACGGGTGTTACATCTAGATCTAGATCTATATTAAAGTTACTAAACTAACCTAATCCAGCGTACATACCCAGCACCTAGGTCTAGATCTGCAAAGGGATGAATGTTATACAATACTAGATCTAAATGGCGTGGTGTCGATGTTAGAACCAACACGGCACACGATGAACAATCGCTCACTCCAACATCCTCGTCGACTTCAGAAGTTCGACCAGACGCGAGAATCTTCGTTTCTGTGGGAGTGAATTCTACTGGCCTGCCAGATACGCACATCAAAATAAGCCAAATTTACTAAACTAAAACTAAATTGTCAGGGTTAGAAATAATTTGTTCCTTATCTCTCAAAACGACAAAATAAACCGTTTGAATAAATCATATCTAGATCTAAAAATATAATAAGTATAATCAAAATAAAGTAATAGACCTAAGAGAGCGCTTTAAGAAAGATGTCATATAGATCTACATGTAGTAGGTTAATGCATGGGTCGGCAACCTGCGGCTCGCGAGCAGCATGCGGCTCTTTTGATATCAAGATGCGGCTCTCCAGCTCCTTGAACAAATACTAATAATCTTAATAAAAAAAAAAATATTTGAAATAAAAAAATGTTAGTGGCTCTTTAAAACCAGGGAAATTTTGAAAATTGTAACTTTTGGCTCTTCCGCTTCAAAAGGTTGCCGACCCCTGGGTTAATGCAACCTAATTGCCAGTTTGAAAAATCCAGGTAGGATTTTATAAAAAGCTGAACTAATCATTGAGAAAATGTGTGTTACATCTCTCTTTCTTACTCTATGACTCTATGTTTTATTTAACGCAATATATACTAATCATTTTTAAACGTTATATATATATATATATATATATATATATATATATATATATATATATATATATATATATATATATATATAAAGGGGTCATCCATAAATGACTTCGCGCTTTTTTGATGTCACACCTCAGCCTACAACCCCCCCCCCCCTCAAAATTGCAGTTGATTTTTTTTTTAAATATCGATATTTTTTTCCAAAATCTGTTCTGAACTTTGTCAAAATAAAGTATTTTAATCAATTCCTATTACAATTTTTTAAAACAGTTTTCTAAAACGCGAAATAACGTCTAAAATTCGTTTTCTAAAATTGCTTTTTTATAATGCAAAAGTGTGACGTCGCACCATCTGAGCCCCCCCCCCCTTCCCTCCCCCTTATCACACATCGTTGCAAAATTACGAACCCCCCTACGAGTGTGACGTCATTTATGGACGACCCCCTAAGGTGGGTTTACGAAATTGCATATGTAAATATTATATCATATTTTTAGTTATCTCTCAACTTTTGAGCGATTTCTGGTAAACTGAACTGGTACTTTATTTATTTCCGATTTCACAAATACACTAAAAAATATACAGAAAACATAAGTACCGTTTAAGATAGATAAACGAAATTTTATACATAAGTATGTGATCTTATTCTCTTAAATCTGTCAAAATTTGAATAATTTCCGATGTCCGGAATTAGTACTTTACGTATGTCCGATTTCTCATAAAAATAGAACGTCTACCAGACCTAGTTGTTTTAAACTTTTCACGTAGGTCAAGACTCAATAACAGTGCACTGTGACATAAATTATGACTAAATTAGATGTTTCGTTAATTGTTTTTTTTTAACTTAATTCGTTTCTTTTAAAAATAACTTTCCACTCAATTATACACACATTGATTACATTCGTTTGGTGCGCTATACTTTTTTTTCTACTCCATTCGACTTTATTTGAGAAATGTAACTATTAAAAAAAATAATAAACTTTTCTATGTGAGCGGGTGAATGGATTATTTTGTATTATTTTATTTGTTCCGAATCTGGGAGTGCCTGGTGGTCCAATGGGGAACAGCCACGGGGTCCCCCTTCCGTCCGAAGCGGTCAGTTTGGTAGCATGAGTGGGGTCAGTGCTTTAGTCTAGTTAAATTTTTGTTTTTTTACTAGGGCTAGTGTAGCTTAGATAAATTTTTGTTCTTGATAGGCCCTTTTTGGAACCATATGTGTTTAGTTTTTGTGTAGTGTAGGCAGAGCCGGCGTTAGGGGGTGGCGAACGGGGCGGTCGCCATAGGCCCCGCGCTTGAAGGGGCCCCGCGATTCAGCAATGCCATTGTTATCTGAATTAGTTCGTAAACTTAAAAAAAATGTTGCTGAATTCAATTGGGAAAAACTAAATGGTCGAATGCCGACGTTGCTGATTGTTATAACTGAGGCCACGGTTGATGTTGGTGAGTCCCACCTGAACTGGGACAGGCCGTAATTCGATACAAAAATAGTGTCACACCTCCCCTTTGTATAGTGTACGGTCGCCTGGCATTTGACCTGAGCTGACTGGAGATGGCGGTCGAGAATTAGCCCACGACTGAAAGAGATACCCTATTGTATGCGGACCCATGAAGACGTCCTTTTAGTGAGCAGACGGGATGTCTGTAGTAGACAGTTAGTGACCTGATGAACTCTAGTCCTGACTTTCTTGTTGTAGATGTCGTATAATGTCGTATATGTACAGTGTTTTTTCCAGACTTTTTTTCTCCGGGGGGGGGGGGGGGCACTTGAAATTTTCGGGGGGGGGGGGGCAGTAGTTCAAAAATTAAGACAATAATGTTTTTGGTTTTAAAATATTGTATGAATTCTAAACAAATTTGGAATTTTATACTGTTTTGATACATCAGGCCGAGTTCGCTGTATTGTAAACTTTATTTTCCTAAATATTCGGCACGTGATTAAATTTTCGTAAGTGATTTGGTATGAATTACATAACTGTCAAAAGTGATTTAATATCTTAGCAAAGGAAAAAAAAACTACGAACATTGGGTTAATACATGGGAGAGATAAAAATCTGTTATTATAGTGGAAAGTTTGACATTAGCTTATAAACTCCAAAACATTTGTGTTATTATGTGTACATCACATTATATAGGCCTTTATACATATATATATATATATATATATATATATATATATATATATATATATATATATATATATATATATATATATATATATATAATGGAAAGGCCCCGCGCGGATGGTTGGCCCTAGGCCCCGCGTATTCCTAACGCCGGCTCTGAGTGTAGGGATTGTTTGTTGTTAAAACACCCAGTCAGGTTGGCGGAGAGATGTGCCTTGGTGAGCCTCCAGTGTGCTAGGCGGGACAAGGCGCGGTGTGTGGCGCGCGATCTGGTGTGTGAGGCAGACCTACCAGCGACAGGCCTACAGCGAACGGTGAACGGAAAAAAAGTCACAGGAAAAAAAAACACAGAAAAAAAGTCACAGTTTTTGCTAGGAAAAAAAGTCACAGAAAAAAGTCACAGTGGAACAATTTTATCGGAAAAAAAGTCACAGAAATAAAGTCACAGAAAAAAAGTCACAAAAATCTTTTTAGAAATATTTTTATTAATTTGTTAAGAATTGTAACATTTTGTATGTTTATTGTTGTGGGTTGTATTTTTTATAGCATAAATTATTTATAGACGTTAAAAGCATTATGATTTATAACAATTGTAAGTAAAAATACTCTAAGATAATTTACACAACAATCTCAACTTTTGTTACGTATTTAGTTAAATACGCGGTAGAAAAGTTTATTATAAAAGAAATTTAGGCAAATTTTGCCGTAGGCTATTCTCTGTTCGGCCTCTCCTCAGTAGGCATTGTCCGAACTTATTCTGTGTTGTTGACGTTATGCGTCAATGACAGCCTTTGAACCTTGTCGGCTTTCTGTTTTGATCCTAAGTTTTGTTATGTAATGAGCGTGATAAATGTGGGCAGTAAAGGTGGTTGAACTAAACATAACTATTGTTGCCACGAGTTGAGGGCAGCAAGTCAGATGAACGTACCATTTCACGGTAATTTAATGTTGGTATTTAAAAAAAAACACGTTGAAAACCGTGGACTTTGGAGCATTCTATTAAATGCTATTAATCTTAAGTTTAACATAATTACAATCTACATACTTCATAATAAATATTTTTAGATGAATTATAAAAATTCCTATGCGTATACAGCCTACACACATTACATTACATTTAATTAATCCTAAGTTAATTTGCACTCTCTAAATATTTAATACATAAAAGTATTAACAAATATCATGCAAATATTTATTTGTGACTTTTTTTCCTGTGACTTTTTTTCCTGTGACTTTTTTTCCTGTGACTTTTTTCTGTGTTTTTTTTTTCCAGTGTTTTTTTTTCCTGTGACTTTTTTTCCTACAATCACAGCGAACACCCCTTGACCCACAAAGAGGGTTACTGGACACCCGCCACACAGGTGTGTAGAGGCGGGCAACCGCACGAGAGCCAGTGGGGCAAGGCGGTTGCGTCACCACCTGGCCCAACCAAGCTGACGCTCCCCACCAACGAGAGGCCTATGACGTCAATTCCTTGACCCACAAAGAGGGCTACTGGACACCCGCCCCACAGGTGTGTCGAAGCGGAGGCACGATCGTTGGGGGCGGGTAACAGTCGGAGAGCCAGTGGGGCAAGGCGGTTGCATCATCTCCGGACCAAACAAGCGGACGTTTTACCGGTGGTCTTACGCTGAGGCCAGAACACGGTGTGTTGTGTAGTGGACCCAGGTGGATGGGATGGACAGGCAACGTGTGCCATTAATAGCGGCCGGGTCTAGGCTGACCCTCCCCCCCTTGCCCTTCCGGATGAAAGGCCGACAGGACTAGTAGCGCGAATCAGCCCTCAGTGAAGGGAACACTATCTTGGTGCCTTGAGTTTTTTTAGGGAACACAGAGACGCAAGATTAATGTTAATGGAAATTGTTTTTTTCTTGCATTCAAGCTTATAGGCTTGATGTAAGAGATGGGTGCATGTTTTATTTTAAGATTGTTATATTTATATGCATTTTTTAGCGCAATTTCCATTCTGGAGAATTGCGTTTATTAACTCGTCATTTCTGGGAATGGATGGATGGATGAATGAATGGATGAATGTGTGTCCGGGCTTTAAGTCGTATCTCCTCCTCAACGAAGCAATATCGATGACTAGTTCCAAAAGCAACTATGTTAAGCAAGTTACGAGAATGAGCATAGGCCATAAAAATTCCGGGTTTCTTTCATGTATTTCCCGTAAAAGCCAAAAAACCTCGAAAAAATGCAGTTTTTTGCCCATATCTCGGCAACCAGACCACTTAGCGACTTGAAACATGTACCAATCGA